ACCTGGACCACCGTCAATGCCTCGCACCACTTAAGCGTGCGGGTACGACAAAGAGTACTCCAAGCATCCAATGACAACACAGGGCAGTCCTCTAGCCAGGACAACTCCGGAACCTCATAACGAATGCAGTATGGAGACGAAGACCCAAACCTGAAGGAAGATGGATCCATTATAGAGGCATAGTCTGGGTTGCACAGGAGGTAAGCCGCACTGGCCGCTCGCATCTCAGTAGGCGACACGCAGGAACACGGAACCGAACCCGGGGAGGGGCTGACACAAAATCCATCTCGTACGCAGAGGGGTGGGGGAGAAAACCACCACTCCTTGTAACAGAAAGCCACGCTCAGAGAGTAGGAAAACCCAGGCGGGGTCCAATGGGGTTCAAGGCCCCCAAGTCAACCCCTCCCCAATCCCGAGAACCTCCACACCAAGACCTGGAGCCGAGTCTTCCTCCAAAGCCCCGGCCTCACAAGAAAAAGCCGGGGCAGCCAGAAAGGCAGGAAGGAAAGGGGGCGGCCCACTGGTCAGACACTGTTGCCATGGCTGGAGGAACCGACTTAAATGCTTCTGTTGCCCCCACTCCCGGAAGGGGCAACCCCCGAAACTACATGTCTCAGAACCTTCTATACCCTGCTCCGACCCCGAAGCCCTCAGACACTTGGCTTCCTCAGAGCCCCTGATGCCCCCCTCAGAGCCGAAGCACTATGACCAGAATGAACCAAAGCTGGGGAAGAGCAAGAGGGTGCGAACTGATGAAAGGCCGAAGCAACCAACACCCCCAAGTCCGGATCTCTACAAGTAAAACAGGGCAGCCTCGGGGCTTCCGGGGTAGCAATCAACCGAGTGCGTTGCAGCAACCTATATCTAGCATGCAATGCCTGAGCCACCTGCACTCGGATAGTTATCAGTGGACTGGGTGAACTGAGTCACAAACAAGCAGCAAAACTTGCAGAAGTCTGGATCGAAGGTATCACCGACCCAATAGGCAGCATGACGGAGACAAAAAGAGTGAGACTCACCCTGAGACAAGGGAAAAGAGCAACCCTCAAACTCGCACAAGGCGAGAGGGGACCCAGGGGTCGCATCCATCAGACCCATGTGCCCCCTGCAGGGTTTCCCAGGGCCCTTAGACTGGTATCGCTAAGGGTAAGCCCAGGAGAAGGTACTGTGAATTGGCACCCAAGTCTACCAATCAAACTGCTAAAAGCTGAAGATTACTCCCAGTTCACCCACCTCCCTGAAGACAGCACTAGGATACAAAGCACAGCACCGAGAACAAGAAACAGGAGCTGAAGTCACACGACCAATCCTCAAACACATCAACCGAGAACTGGGGTGTGGGTAGCCGGCGCGAGGGGTCTGGGGCTCCCCCTTCCCCCCCTCCTGGGGAGGAGGGAGCTGCTCAGACAGCGCGTGGCACACGGTGACGTCATGCTCGTTTGCTTGTTTTACTTTGAGGAGTTCTGTCCACTCGTTTGACTTTTAGTAGTAGTTTCAACCAGAATAGGGGTTTGTTTTGGGATGCTTACCTTTCTGGGTGCCTGACCCAGTTGATGGCAGACATAGAATGCTCCAAATCACATGTGCATTTCTATAGGCCACTGCTCCTTGTGCCTCTCTGAGGGGGCTAGGTTCTGGCTCGTGGTCCTCGGTAGGCCTAAGAACTCCATTCACACTGACTGATACCAAAGTCTAATGTTGTATATCCATATCAGCCTGGATAAGCTTCCAGGAGCCGAAGGGGCGTCCCCAGAAAAAATATTTCCAAATAAATTTATTAAAGAATTTGCTATGTTCCCTATAGTGCCCTCTCTTAAAATAAAATCTGTCAATTACAGGTATTTCAATTTCACTATTCTCTTCTAGATTATATCACATAGCATATCTGATTTCCAACAAGACATGGTCACTCTTTCCCAAGGGAGGAAGGTACTGAATGTCAAATCTCTCTCCTTCTTTTTTAATAAATATTAAATCCAGTATTGATGGAACATCCCCTTCTTTAATTTTTGTGGCCTGCTTGAAGTGTTAATACATAAATATCTCCAGAATGAGATTTACAAATCTGCTTGTCTAAATTACCTAATTTTTTGCTTCATTTAAGCAAAAATGAAGCAAAATTTTTTACTCCCAGCCTATTGCTTTCAAGATAAAGTCCCCCCAGTACCAACAATCATGATTTATTTTTATCTGCTCTTACTACACACACTCTGATGACCATTATGAGGCCTGCTCATTTGTCATCCAGTTCCACCTTTGTCCATGTGTTGCTTGCTGGTGGGCTGTAGGCATTTACAATTATCAGTTTATCCTCCCGATTCCAAACCTGCAATGCCATTATGTCAAGTTCGCGTGGGTTGTCGATTATTAACTCTCTTACCTTTATTGTTCATTCGCCAGCACAGCCACACCTCCACCCTTCCTAGTTTTCCTGTCATGTCTCCAAGCTGATTAGCCCCTTGAAAATACCTCATTTAAAATATTTTCTTCAAGTTTCATCTCTGATAGTGCGACAATATATGGGACCTTAAGCTGATTTATGTCTTTTAGCTCCAGTAATTTTCTCTCTCTATGCATGCCACTCTATGTTGGTACATACAATTTTCAGGAACCTGTTTCCTTTCCCTTTGTCCTTTACTTCCCCTTCCTCTAATGATTTTGCTGCTTTGTTTTATGTATCATTTCACAGGCTTTCCAGTTCCAATCACTTTGTAGAAAATAAAATTTTGTTTTCTTCATTTCTATTTCCATTTAGACATTTTGCTTCATAGAGGTTTAGTTTGAGTTTTTCTCTGTTTTCTTTTAGAGGTTTCATCTTAATAACCAAAGTTTCCCATCCTCATCATGCAAGCAGTTACCTGGTACAGAATTCCTAATCACTTCCATCATTTGTTTCTCTCCATTAAGTGTTACCCCTTATAGGGCGATTCTAGTCTTTTCCATATTTTCATACACTCCTAAACTCCCAGAACCCCATCAAGTAGGTAACAAGCTGGTAAAATCACTGCCATTTTCCTTTATTGTAAAGCCTTTTCCTAAACCTACTATTTTCTCAATAATTTTTTCCTCTTCTGCTGTTCTTTCTATCCTAGATGGTATTTCCTTTTTCAGACCCTCAAAAATTATTATGGACTTCTTTCATCAGTGTTTTGTACTAATTTACTTTTGGTTACCAGTCGTTTCCTAATGTTTGCCAAATATGTGCTTCTTGTTTGTCATGTCTGGTTTTGACTTGTTTGTCATTTCTGGTGTTTTAACCAAACACACTTTCTTGATCGTCTCTTTCTCTTTTACAACTTGAATATACGTTTCTTTTCTTTCCTCTTTGAACTTTTCTAGTTCTTTATTAACCTCCTCTATGCGAGTTGTCAATGAAATTTCTCCTTGCATATCCTTACTTAACTCCATGATAGCCTGTACGGTTCCTTTGAGTTGTTCACCATGTGAGTTCATTTTCTTGTTAATTTATTCAAATTCACCACTCTTTACTTTCCATGCTTCATTTTCTTTCACTAGTTCCTTGATTTGTCCCTTGATTTGTCCCTCTTGATTCTTTACCTTATCAGTCAAGCTGGTCATTTCCTTACCTTGCTGGAAAATACTTACTTGTAAATTACAGTATTCAATCTTGAGACCGTCATTTTCTTGTTCCAATTTAATTACTTTTCTTTATAATTCTTTAGCAAGTCCTCAATAATCACTAACCTGAAAAGAAAACCTCCTTTCATTATATCTTGTACCAAGAATCCTTTGAAACATTCATTTGTTGGTGTGTTGTCCTTCCCCATCGTGGCAGCCATCTTTGGTTGTTGACATTCTTCTGTTTTGAAATATTAACTTTACCTATCCAGATTTTTCACTCACTTTTACTGATTTCTTATATCTTAGTTACTTTTTAAATTCTCTATACCTTCATGTATCCTGGGACACCACTTGCAGCTCTCAATCTGTTCAAAATACTTAGGCAATTTATATTCCTGGAGCCTGCTGCAGGGTGTATGCATGTGCCCACATGTGTTAGAGAAATATACTGTATGTAGTAGACATAATAGAAGAAAAATAGATTTGTTAGAAAGGCAGTGTCCAAGAACTAATAGCTCGATTCTACAGGCACAAATAGTAAATACACAACTAACTTAGATTGTTATTAATACATTTGTAAATGTTTTCATATGAATATGTGTAGAGCCAAGTACAGTAATCTGTCCTAATAAAACAACAATAAAACTTGGTCATGATTTTCAGTTGGTCACAAGGAGATTTGAGCTTATCTGTCAGTTCTTACCTATTGGTGACAATGAAGGAGTGAGATCTAGCTCTTTATTCTTGGCCCTAGCTCTAGTGAGGTCTGAATTAATGAGTTGTTATAGTACAGTATTGTGAACCCTTTACTGACTAGGCCAGCAGCTACATGAAAAATTTGGGTCTTGCTCACTAGGGATGAAAGAAACAGTATAATCAGGATGATAACCCCCAATATCACTACAACTTAAATAGTATTCACAACTGGTATATTGTATTAATACTACAACAAGAAATTAGAAAATTCACTAGGACTACAAGTGGACGCGAACCTACGACCCCAGCATTGCCAGTCGCGTACTCTACCACTAGACCATCGCTGACTTGAAAAAGTCATACAACCAGATGCCTACTGAAATTACAGGAAGTCTGGATTTGCTGGGATCATAGGTTCATGCCCAACTATAGTCCCACTGGATTTTCTCATTAATATATATCATGTTAATGTGATTTCTGTGTGTTTATAACAAGAAATCATATATAAAATACTGCCAACCTAAAATGTAAAATAGGCCCATATACAGGGTAGTCGAGATTATGTTTCAGTTGCAGTGTACAGTACCTGAAAAATACTTGTCTGTCGGAATACAAGTGAAAATCAGATGTGCTGAAATTAAATACTGTAGCTCTAGATGAGAGAGCTATCATTGGTGAGAACATTAGTTTCAATATGACTAATAACCATATTAAAGACTTACTGGAGTTGACGGTATAACGGGTTTTGGCACTGGTGCAGTAAGCTTCAATCACTCGCAGTATCAGTGCATCATCCTCATGCCACTTGTCATCTGAAAACAGGCATTTATATTGTAATAATATTACCATGTGAAGATTAATAATCTATTATTCCAATGATTAAATCCAATACTTAATATAAACTGGCCTTTAATGTAATAAAACACCAATTATTGGGCAAGCCCCAGAGGCTTCCTGAAGCTATCATACACTGATCAGTGTCATACTATTAGATGCCATCAGTCGTGGAGTTCTATTGGTCTACTGGGGACCACAAGCCAGGACCTGGCACCCTCAGTGAGGTGCAGGGCACAATGGCCTATGACCACTTTACATTTAAAGTTCATCATTATTGCCACCAACCGGGGAAGGCAACCAGAAAGATAGGAGAACTAAAACAGACTACTTCATGGTTAAAAATAGGACTGCAGCCCCAGAATTACCCAAGGAACTCCCTCAACAATGAAAACAAGCAAAGGTTCGTGAAACTAGCATGCACTAGTTTGCCCCACCTCCCACCTCATTTGGGGAGAGGAGAAAGGTGTACCAGCTTACCCTGCCTGCCCTGCCATTAGTTCTATAATGATGAAACATAGTGATGCCCCTGTGGGAAGGGTGGGAGTCAGGGAGCCTCTAGGGCTCATCCAAAAATTGGCTTGTCATTACATTCAATGCTGGTTTTCTGGGAAAAGCTCCATCGGTTATTTGAAGCTAACTACCCATGTTGAAGGCAATAAGGGCACTTACTAGTGAGGAGGCAGCACCACAGTAATCAGCTTGAAAACAAAACCGTTGGCCGCAACACACTACCCAAGTCAACACAAGGCCGCTGAGGACCTAGAACAGAGGTCTGTTTGACCTCCAAAAGCCCTGCACCCAAAGATAGGCCTAAGACAAATTAGGGAACACTGACATCAGAACAACATATGTAGAGACATCATAGGCATGAAAGTAGACCAAAGGCTGGCTAGACTAAATTACACTACAGACAACCAGAGAAATACGAACTCGGAACAGGGAACCAGGGAAACCGGATCAACCAATATGAACCCACTGAGGCAGAACCGGTGACATGAAGGTAGCACAGCCCGTCCTCCAAACAAAGACCCAAAAGTGATTCCATGCACCTGCTAAACCCCCTGTTTATGAATGAAAAACGGTTTACACACACGACTCACAACTGCTGACATTCGAACACTTCCAGAACACTTCCAGTGTTGTGGTTGTTCGAACCACAACACTGCAACTGCTTCACCCACTTACTACAAATAGAAAGAATCTCCAGCAGAACCTAAATATCTAACCTAACCTATGCCTATATATATGCACAATACGCTAATATGTTATAATATTAATTTATATTTGAGAAAATTACTATTTTGAATGAACAGCAAGTTAAAATTGGTGAATGCATCTGTGGGGTCAACCGCTGGATGTAATGGACTTGAGTCGAAGATGGGTCTGGTAGCGGCATAAAACCGCCACCGGACAAAGCTCATAATGCACGCCTGGCTAACCAACCAAGCATCCACAACTAAAGGATCCCTCTGGATGCCTGCCAACTCATCCTTCTCCGAAAAAGAAGGAACTGGCTGCAACCGAACAAAGTGCTCACTAGGGCCAAAGGAACAAAAACCCCTGGCACCATAGAAGAGCATGAAGCTAACCAACCTGACAACCAGAGGCCAAAGAAAGCAAAAACCAGCGTTGAATATAATGAAACGCCATTTTCTGGGCGAGTCCCGGAGGCTCCCCGGAGCTTCCAGGGCTCCCCACAGAAATACCACCTTCAAAAAAACAATATCGGATTGAAGAAACCACTGTAAAATGAGCAGAGGAGAGAAAAGAAAGACCCACTGTCCAGAGACCAGACAGGCTCAGGCAGCGCATGAGCAGGCTGGAGGTAAAACAAAGCACGAGAAAGCTTACGAAACAGAGCCGAAGAAGTGTCAACCCAGAAAGCAAGATGGAGCGGCTCCACCAACACCACACGAGAAGAGGTGACAGTATTCAGCATGAAATGCTGAATGAAAAACAGCCAACAAAGAAAGGTCAAAACAACCCACATATAAATCAAAAAGCAATGACAAAGGGAGAGAAAAAATTGAGAACACAAAACAGCCCAAAACCAAACCATTGAGAATGAGCAACAAGGAAGAAACATCGACATGCTGATGTGTTAACACTTTTGCTGCCCGATCATGCATATTCCGTCACAGAACCAAAATTCGGTGTGTGTGTGTGATGATACAAATGGAGTTTAAAAATCTATAAAACTTCCATTTATTGTCTGAATACTATGGGATTTGTTTTAAAATGCACGCAACGTGTTCCCATTCTCTCTTTACCCCATGTGACATCCTGACCCTACGGTGTGGGTGCCCACCTACGCTGGAGGCTCACTGTTCTCGTGACCTCGCTCATGACAGCTGCGGGGTCCCCTTGAGTAAAAAAAACAGCGTCGAATGTAATGAAATGCCATTTTCTGGGCGAGTCCCGGAGGCTCCCCGAAGCTATCCAAGCTGATAGGGATAGTCCTAACTTTTGGGATCAGTCGATGTGGGTGGAGTTCTAGGCCTACCGGGGACCACGGCCAGAACCTGGCCCCCTCAGACAGGCACGAGGAGCAATGGCCTATAGAATGCACATGTGATTGTGAACCATTCTATATCTGCCATCGACTGGGACAGGCACCCAGAAAGGTAAGCGACCCAAAACAAACATTTATTCTGGTGAAAACAATAAAAATAGACGAGTGTCTATTTTTGGAGTGGATAGAAAAGCAAGCATGACGTCACACAAGCCGCGCCACGCTGCACGTCTGCGCAGCTCCCCCCACCCTCCCCGGGAAGGGGATAGGGGAGCCCTAGACCCCCGCACTGGCAATCCACACAACAGTTCTTTGGCTGATGGAATATGGCTTGGTTGTTGTAGATCCAGCTCCGGATTTTTGTTGTGCTGTCCTCTGTTCAGTACTGCTCTTCCGTGGTTTGCGAGCTGGGAGTAATATTCACAGGTACTGCATGTACTTATGGTCACCTTCCACGAGTGCCCTGTACGCACCGCCCTATGGGCTTTGGGTTCCCTTCCCCAAGTTACCTTGGGTCTACCTCTGTTGATCTTTTGCTGCTTGGTGATTGACCACCCCAAGAGTTTTGGGGGGGTTTCCTCCCTCGTTTGCCTTGAGGTAAGTGGTAGTTATTGCACTAGTAGGGGCGCAGAGTATTGCGCAGCTAGCTCTCACCTATAACAGCGGCCGGCTCTGTTCCCTCTGGGTACACTGTCCTCTTGCAAGGTTTTTCTTTTCTTTTTGCTTTTTCTTGGTGGGGGGTCTGTCTGCCTTGGTGTTCCTTCCCCCATTATACTAGGGTTGTTTGTGTTTGATGATATCCCCTGCTTCGCCCTTGTGAGTGGACACGTCCCACCATTGCTAATGGTGGGTTCACCATTAGCAATGTTGATTGGTAGCTTAGGAGCCGGTTAGCAGAACCCTGCCTGGGATAACCCTCAGCAGATCCAGTCTAGGGGCCCTGGGAAACCCCGCGGGGGCACTCGGGTCCAATGGATGTGATCCCTGAGTCACCTCTCGTTTTTTGCTACTTTGAGGGGTTGCTCTGTCCCCTTGTTTCAGGGTGATGCTCATTCTTTTGCCTCCGTCATGCTGCCTGTTGGGTCGGTGACACATTCGACAAGGAGTCCTGCGAGCTTTGTTGCTTGTTTGTGACTTGGTTCACCCAATCTGATGATGATATTATTCGGGTGCAGGCGGCTTGAGAGTTGCACAATAAGTTTAGGTTGTTGCTGCGCACTAGGTTGGTTGCTTCCCCTCATGCCCCGATGGTGCCCTGTTTTGGTTATAGGGACCTGGACTTGGGGGTGTTGGTTGCTTCGGCCTTCATTCTGTCCGCGCCCCCTCGTTCTTTCCCTGCTGTGGTTCATTCGGCTCCCCCCTCCTGCTTCCGGCTCCTAAGCATCTGAGGGCTTCGGGGTCGGGACAGGGTTTAGAGATTTCTGAGACTCTGGCAGGTTCGGGGGTTGCCCATTTTGGGGTGGTTGCAGAGGCATTTGAGTCAGTTCCTCCAGCCGTAGCTACCGGGTCTGACCAGTGGGCCCATCCTCTTCCTGCTATTCTGGCTGCTCCGGACAACTGAAGGTGAAGGCAATAGTGGTGTTGCAACATTGTTGCCAGTAGATGTGCTCTCATTGTCATGTACATCAGTAGCATGTGTGATATTATTTTGCAAAGGTCAATTCTTAGGCTGAATGTACAGTAGTGACAAAATGACTACTTCGTGGAAGTGGAATAATGTGAGTTTCTTTGTATCTGTTGTGTAGTAATTGTATAACAAAAAAACAGCGTTGAATGTAATGAAACGCCATTTTCTGGGTGAGTCCCGGAGGCTCCTCGGAGCTATCCAGGCTGAATGGATATGTATAACTTTCTGGCATCAGTCAAAGTGCTTGGAGTTCTTGCCTACCGGGGACCACGAGCCAGAACCTGGCCCCCTCAGAGAGGCACGAGGAGCAATGGCCTATAGAAACCCCCCTGTGGTGGGGAGCATTCTATGTCTGCCATTAACCAGGATAGGCACCCAGAAAGGTATGTGCCCCAAAACAAACCCCTATTCTGGTGAAAATATTGCTACCGAAAACTGAACGATTGGACAGAACTCCAAACAAAATTATCAAACTAGCATGACGTCATCACATCGCCGCGCCGCTGTCTGGCAAGCTTCCCCCCTCCCTGGAAGGGGGAAGGGGAAGCCCCAGACCATCCATCCAGTGGCGATCCAACTGGCAGTTCTTAGGCTGGATGTCAAAATATGCGAAAAACTCCGCTGACCAGAGGGAGGGAGGGATGCCGGGGAACCTCTGGGACTCACCCAGAAAATGGCGTTTCATTACATTCAACGCTGGTTTTCTTGGAGGAACCCCACTGGCTCCCCGGAGCTACCTCACCACAGATAAGGAAAATAGGGAAGGATCCGGGAGGCGGACGCCACGCGCCTAACCTAAAATAACCAGACCACAGACGAAACAAAGACCCAGACGACCCGAACCCCAGAACAGGAATGAGGGAAGAAAGAGAATGTGGTATACCAAAACACGTCCACGACCCCAGAGAACAGCGAAAAACCACAACCAAACAACAAAGGAAGCACCCCTGGCCTGACCAATCAAGCAGCAGCCCAAGGACCAAAACTAGTAGAAGAAAGAAAATAGACCACCCGGGACAACGACCAGGATGGCACCGGAAACACAAGAGCAGGCCAGATTCGAAAAAATACCCAAGACAGCAAGTGGAACGTAGCAGAAGGAACAACAACCCTGAACGCAAGCTGGAGCAGCTCCGCCAGCACCACCCAAGACGAGGCAACAGTACACGGACCCAGATGACGGTCCTGAAACAACCCTGAAGGGAAGACGAGCCAACCATTTCAGAGAATAATGGACCCCTCACAGTGATAAGAAAACCGGAAGGACTGCCAGAAAAACACACACTGCCCCCGAGATGAAGCACACAGGTGGGAGACCAACAACGAAGCCACCAGTGCCCACACAAACGACGAGAAACTAGAGACAAAAACCCAAGACGCGAAAACTCGATGGAAAGAACGAAGAGACCCCCACCCCAAAGTCCGGACCCCAACAACCAAAATGGGGCAGCCTCGGGGCATCTGGGGCCGCAACCAACCTAGAGCGTTGTAGCAACCTACCCTTGCATGCAACGCCGCAGTCCCCTGCACCCGCATATCATGACCAGAGGCCTGGGTGAACAAGAGCACGCACAGACAACACCCGTCGTATGACTCCGAGTCATAAGAAACAATGACCGAACAGGCAGCATGGTGGAGGCACAACCGGTGAGTGTCACCCCGAGACAAGGGGACAGATCAACCGTCAAACTCGCAAAATGCGAGGGGGGACTCGGAGGACACATCCATAAGACCACGTAGCCCTCATGGGGTTTTCCAGGGGCCCTTAGTCTTGGTTACATGCTAAGGGAAGCCCAGGCAAGGTACTGCGAACGGCGCCCAAATCTACCATACAAACTTCTAAAAGCTGAACCCCCCGGGACATGTCCACTCACGGGGGCCAAGCGGGGAGGACAACCAACAGAAAATATCTAAAGAAGAACTCACCTAGAACAGTAAAAGGGGGGGGACCATAAAGACAGACCCCTCCCCCCACCAGGCAAACACAAAAACAAAAGAAAAACCCAGCAAGAGGACAATGTACCCAGGCGGAACAGAGTCGGCCGCTGTTATTGGTGAAAACTAGCTGTGCAGCACCCTGCACCCCTACCAGTGACGAAAACCACCACCTATCCAGACACAAACAAGGGCAACAAAATTCCAGCCGACTCCAAGGGCAGCCCTTTACCAAGCAGTAAAGGAGTAAAGGACACAGCGGAGGTAGAACCCAAGGTGACTTGTGGAAGGTGGCCCCAAGCCCCAAGGGCAGTACTTGCAGGGTACCTAGGGGAGAGAGCCCTAGGAGCATGCAGCCCGAGTACCGTGGAATCTCACTCCTGGCTCACACCCCACTGGTAGAGTGTCCACACCACAAGGCACAGAACTGAGAAAAACCGGAGCCAGAGGCACTCGACTGGCCAGTAATTCCATCAGCCAAGAACTGCCAGTTGGATCGCTGGCACGGATGGTCTGGGGCTCCCCCTTCCCTCTCCCGGGGAGGGGGGTTGCGCAAACGGCGGCGTGGCGAATTGATGACTGTCATGCTAGTTTGATAATTTTGTTTGGGGAGTTCTGTCCACTCGTTCAGTTTTCAGCAGCAATATTTTCACCAGAATAATGGTTTGTTTTGATGGCAGACATAGAATGCTCCCAACCACAGGGAGGGGGGTTTCTATAGGCCATTGCTCCTCGTGCCTCTCTGAGGGGGCCAGGTTCTGGCTCGTCATCCCCGGTAGGCAAGAACTCCAAGCACTTTGACTGATGCCAGAAAGTTATACATATCCATTCAGCCTGGATAGCTCTGGAGAGCCGACGGGGCTCTTCCCAGGAAAGCATTATGGATAGCCATTTGCAGAAAGAAGAATGTCATTTTCTTCATCTACTTGTGACTTGTCTGTGTGAATTGATAATATTTTACCATTTGGTTGAAGTGATCAACACCTTGCATGTGTGTATATTGTAGTCACAGATTGCATTTGGTTTGTTCACAGTGACCTGTTGCAATGAAGATGTTTCATCAGGTTTGCGTACTCATTTCCTTCGTTCCACTTGTTGTGTATCTGCATTGTGGCAAGTTGTGATGAGTGAAACAACTCGCGTATCTTTCCATAGAATTATAAAAGTACCTGTATTGTCCTTCCGTCGGAATACAGTTTTTACCGTAAGGCATTTTACCTTTGCTTGAACCTGAAGATTTTTAGGTCCACCATACTGCAATCTGATAGTACCACAGGTGTATACCCCTTGTTCAAGCAGCAATTCACTCAGTTGAACAAAGTTATAGTTATCCATATATAAATGATAACCTTTGTTCTCTGTTCTTGATCACTAGTTCTTGATCACTATCCATCTTGGAGTAAATGCAGAGTTTTTTGATGTAGCAGTAAGAAATATAGTTGAGGAAAATTGCTGGAACGTTCACATGTTTGGGACGCAAGGGGAGGCAGGAGCGGGCAATAGCATGGGACGATAACAATGGGCCTACCTCCTGGGTTACGCTGCCTCGGTGCCACATGGACCATCACGGAAAATGGGAAGATGTTGGCACCAATTCTAAAACCAGTCCTCCAAAAATCGGATAAAAACTTGAATTTTAGCAATTTTTTATATTTTTGTCACACTGATGCGTCATTCCCGCACATTTGTCTAATCAATTTTTGACCCCATACTGTGCCGTACCCGCGCGAAAGTGTTAATAAATGTTACAAAATATTCTTTTAGTATCGTCAGCAGTTAAAGGTAATTTAACCATCAAGGGTAAATTTTACATAAGGCTGCATCATCAAGGAAAGGAAGTTTACAGATGAAACAAGATGTCAAAGGCAGAATAAAAATGGAAATTATACAACTACATAACAAATTAATCTACCAAAATTAAGAAACTTTACAATATATGGATAAACTGAACTATTTACTGTTAACTAGTGTATTTAGTTATTCTTAATTATTTTGAAAATTAACATTCAGTTTAGTACCTTTCCGTTTAATGTGCCTCTGATTCCGCTTTTCATCTCGTAAGGACAATCCAGGCCTCAGCGGTGGTGAAGGTCGTAGGCATGACATACTCCAAACCTGATAGACAAAAAACAATATTTAGTGTAATAAAAACCCAGCGTTGAATACAATGAAACGCCATTTTCTGGGTGAGCCCCGGAGGCTCCCTGGAGCTTATTGGGCTAATGTATGTTATGTTAGACTGGAACATTAGCTATGGAGTTCAGACCTACCAGGAACCAGCGCCAGAACCTGGCCCCTTCAGAGAAGTTTCAGGGAGCAATGACCCTGGAAACCCCCATTATGGTTGGGGGTTTTCCTTATCTGCCATCGACCGGGGTCAAGCACCCAGAAAGGTAGGCATAACAAAACAAACCCCACATGGTAAAAAACTACAACAAAAAAACGAACAGAGAGGTAGAAACTCCCTACAATCCAAAGGAAACAATCAATTTAACGCCGCGCCAGTCGTCCGCGCAGCCCTCCCCACCCCGGGAGGGGGAGGAGGGGCCCCGGACCTGACTACGCCGGCTGCCTTCAGTTCGGAAACTAGGCTTCAACCAACGCGAAAAAACCCCGCTGACCGGATGGGAGGGAGGGTAGCCAGGAAGTCTCGGGGGCTCACCCAGAAAATGGTGTTTCATTACATTCAACACTGGTTTTCGGTGGGGAGCCCCTACAGCTCCCTGGAGCTACATACCCAAAGAGAAGGAAATAGGGACTTACCCGGGAGGCGGCGGCCACAAACTCCTCAACGAGAAGTCGAGACAACTGGCTGCAACCTGCGACCAAAAGCAACACAAGAACGCCGAGGAGCAGGGACGTTCACCAAAGAACGGGCAGCCAGGACCCTGTTCGACTTCCAAAATCCACACGCCCGAATATGAGCCCAAGACATGTTACCAAACATGGCAGCCAAAGCTGCAAACTTCCGAACGTCACGGGCGCGAGGATAGACCGCAGGCTGGCTAGACTTAATAACCCTGCGGACAACCTGGGAGACCCGAGCCCTGGAACAGGGAATGAGGGAAACCGGATCAACCCAAAGCGGATCCCCAGCCACCCCAGCTGAAGAGCACAGGTAACGGCAAAGTGCTGCAACCGGACACAACACATAATGCACCCCCAGCGAACCAACCAAGCAGCAATGACCCACGGACCCCTCCGGAAAGCAGCTGTCTCGTTCTTCACCAGAAAAGATGGAGAAGGCTGCAAACGGACAAACCTACCCCCAGGACCAAAAGAGCAGAAACCCCTGCGCCGGAGGAGAGCATGAAGCTCCCATACCCGGCCCCCAGAGGCCAATGCCAACAAAAAGAAAGCTTTGGAAAAACAATCCGGAACCGAAGGGGCCACCACAAACTGAGGAGAGCATCCTGTCCAAGGACCAGGATGGCTCAGGAGGCGCATGAGCAGGCCGGAGGTGAAACATAGCACGGGAAAGCTTACAAAACGGGGCAGATGTGACGTCCACCCCAAACGCTAGCTTGAGCGGCTCCGCCAGCGCCACACGATACGAGGCGACAGTATTAGGCATCAAATGACGGTCCTGAAAAAGCCAAGAAAGAAAGGACAAGACAACCCGATCCGAAAGAAAAGACAACCTACGAAGAGCCAGAAAATGGCGAAAAGAACGCCAGGAAGCTTCATACTGTCGCCGAGACGAAGCTCTCAGGTGGGACACCATCAACGAAGCCACCTGATCACCATAGAAATGGTGATACACCCGCGTAAAAAAGACCAGACGCGAAGAGCAGAGGAGAAGTTCGAACCAGCCCTGTACCGGACCGGGCCGACCTGAAAGAGGCGGAGACGCGGGAAACATCCCGGGTTCGGGCACCGAGCCAATAGCATCGGAAACCAAGGCTGGGCCGGCCACCAAGGGGCCACAAGGACTACTCTCCCTGGGAGTGTCTCCAACCGAACCAGAACCCGAAGCAACAGCTGGACTGGGGGGAAGAGGTACAGGTAACCCCACCTCGACCAGTCCTGCCGAAAGGCATTCACCGCGAACGCCTTGCAGTCGGGGAAGGGCGTCACATAGATTGGGAGACGCCAAGACCACGCCGACGCGAAGAGGTCCACATCTGGGAGACCGTACGTCTGGCAGATCCAATGAAACGAGTCGTCGTCGACCGTCCACTCCATGGACAGGGGATGGAAGCGCAACTGACTGTCCGCCAGAACGTTGGACACTCCCCGGACATGAACCACACAGAGAGCCAAACCCCAAGAATCCAGCAGACGAACCACTCGAAGAGAGCAACCCCAAAGAGATAAGGACCGAAGAGAACCCCGCGGTTCAGGCAATGAACCACTGGAGAACAGTCCGAATGGAGGCGAATGGTCGATCCCCGAGCAACCTGAACTCTCCGAAGCGCAAACCAGACTGCCGGGAACTCCCGAACCGTGCTGTGAGCCTGACAGAAGGACGGACCCCATCATCCCTGGCCTGCCTGGTGAGCACTGGTCACAAAGCCCCAGCCGAGAGACGACGTGTCCGTGAACACATCGAGCGAGGGCTCGGGAAGGCACCAAGGCATCGAACCCCGAAAACCCCGAAGAGGAAGCTGGTGACGCAGCAACCGACACAAGGCCCCCGGAGGACGAACCCAGCGATCACGAGAGAGGCGGAAGGGACGTCCCCGAAGGAACCAAAACAGACGCCAAAGCCAAACCTGACCAGGCGGGTAGACTAGCATGGCGAAGTTCAGACTCCCACACAATAGCTCGAGCAGCCGCCGAGTGACCCGGGACCCCCTCGGAAACAGCCGACGGCGGTCCTGCAGCCACAACAACGCCTCCGCAGGAAGAGACAAGGAAGCGGTCCGAGAATCCCAAAGAAGACCCAGCTAGGTCCGAACCTGGGACGGAACCAGACGGGACTTCCTCCAGTTCACCAGGAACCCGAACCTGGCGAGCTGGGAAAGAACCATATCCCTGGTGAGCAGACAAGCTGACCGACTGGGAGCCCACACCAGCCAGTCATCGAGGTAGGCCAAAACCCGAATCCCTAGAAGATGCAGACGGGTCATCACAACCAGGGTTAGACGTGTGAAAACGCGAGGTGCCAGATTCAAGCCAAAAGGTAGGCATAAAAAACGGTAAGCGTGACGCCCCACCACGAAACCTAACCAGTCCCTGAACCCCGGATGAATAGGAATGTGCCAATAGGCGTCCTTGAGGTCCAGGGCACCATCCAGGCACCCGGCTCCAACAGAAGCCGGACCTGAGACAGAGTAGTCATCCGAAAGGAGGGGCAAGAAATCCAGGGGTTCAGACGGGACAAGTCCAGAATGAACCTCGGATCCGCACAGTCCCGTTTCAGTACTGGAAACAGACGAGAAACCCACCTGAGGGACGTAGTCGTTTCGACCACACCCAAGCGCACCCACTCCAAGACGACTTAACGAAGCGCAGGAGAAGAAACCTGCCCTGTTAGCCCCAAACCCCCCAAAGAAGGACGAGTCGCCCAACGCCACCACAGGCCGGATGACACGACCGAAAAGGCCCACAAATCGTGGGACCAAGAGTGAGCAAACAGAGCGAGCCTTCCCCCCATCGCCCCATCAACGGGGCGAACCGCGAAAGGGCCGACGCCCCTTACAAGAACCCAAACGTCGAACAGGGTGATCACCACACCGACCAGACGACGCTGGCCCCGAAGGAAATAACGGCTCAGAAACTGGCACCAATGGCCCACCTCGACCAGCGGAACCCGGAACCCTGGCACGACCCCTCCAAAACTGCCAAGAACGACCGCTTCAGAGAATCGAGCGCTATGTCATGGGTTCGTATCCTGGCCGAGGAGGATTTACTGGGCGCAATTCCTTAACTGTAGCCTCTGTTTAACACAACAGTAAAATGTGTACTTGGATGAAAAAACGATTCTTCGCGGCGGGATCGTATTCCAGGGACCTGCCCGAAACCGGCTCAAATGCCTCCGTTCCCAATCCGGATGGGGCAGCCCCCAAGGCAGCTCGAGTCTCATTACCAACTAAAACCTGTGCCGAGGCTGAAACCCTCAGACGTTTTAGAGCCGGACACAGGGGGGGAGGTGCAGGAAGAACCACAGGGAAGGACCAGGGGGCACGGCAGAAGCCAAAGCCAAAGCGACTAACGCCCCCTGGTCAGGGACCCTAAAACCAAAGCGGGGCAGCCTCGGGGCATCCGAGTGGGAAACCAACCTAGCGCTTTGCAGTAACCTAAACCTAACATGCAACGCTGATGCTGCCTATACCCTAACAGGAACATCCTCAGAGTAAAACTGGAGCATAAGCAGAGAACACGATTCGCAAGATTCCGGGTCAAAGGTGTCGTTGACCCAACAGGCAGCATGACGGAGGCAAAACAGGTGACTGTCACCCTGAGACAAGGGCATACTGCAACCTTCAAACCTGCACAAGGCAGGCTTGAACTTGGGAGATGCATCCATGGGTCCACCGAGCCCCAACAGGGGTTTCCAGGACCAATAGGGTAACATCTACAGGAAGTCCGGGCAAGGTGTTGCTAATTGGTTAAGAAACCCAAACAAACAAGGGTAGATGATAACACTTAAAACCCCCTGGGATGTGTACAAGCACGGGGGCCTAGCAGAGGGCCACCAAAACAATATCAGGGGAACTATAGACCCACGAGGCAGAACCTCCACCAGGCAAACAAAAAGAAAACAAAAGAAAAACCCCGCAAAAGTACACCGTCTCCAGAGGCAACAGGAACCGGTCGCCACTTAGGTGGCAGGCCGCACAACACCTTGATGCCCTATCCAGCACAACACCACTCCCTACCCAAGGCCAAACAAGGGCCCCCAAGCCCCAGCTGGCCCCAAGGGCGAGGAAAATGCCGAGCAGCAAGAACCCCTACGGGAGCGGTTCCCGAACGCCCCAGGGAAGATAACCCTGACATGCAGGGGCAGTACTCACAGGGCGCCTAGGGAAGGAAGCCCTAAGCACATGCAGCCCAGGCACTGATAAGGTACTCCTGGCCACCGCACACCACACAAAGACAGCAGAGAAGTACCTGTGCCAAGTACCGAGCAGTACCCGGCACAGCAGAGGTAGACCCCAAGGCGACCTAGGGAAGGTGGCCCTAAGCCCCCAAGGGCAGTACTTACAGGGCATCTAGGGAAGAGAACTCTAGGCGCATGCAGCCCGAGCACCGTGGAATAATACTCCTGGCCCACACACCACCGGAAGGGACAGCTCACACCACAAGTCACTGAACTGCAACTACAAACAGGAGCCAGAGGCACTACCGCACCAGATCCCATCAGCCTGAGAACTAATGGTTGGGTCACCGACGGTGGGGTCTGGGGCTCCCCCCTTCCCCCTCCCGGGGAAGGGGGGGGGTTGCGCAGACGGCGGCGCGGCGACATGATGATTATCTAATTTTCGCTTGGGAAGTTCTGTCCACCTGTTTGGTCTTCGGTCGCAATAGTTTACCAGAATAGGGTTTTTTGGGGGGGCAACTACCTTTCTGGGTGCCTATCCCGGTCAATGGCAGACATAGAATGCTCCCAATTATACGGGCGGTCTCTATAGGCCATTGCTCTTCGTGCCTCTCTAGAGGGGGCCAGGTTCTGGCTCGTGGTCCCCGGTTGGCAAGAACGCCATGCATTGACTGATGCCAGAAAGTTATACATATCCATTCAGCCTGGATAGCTCCGGGGAGCTGAAGGGGCTCTCCCCAGAAAAGTGGACGCGAGCGGTGTCCAAAGTGGGCGACAGCGTTAGTAAGTGATTATGTTTAGTGTCGAGACAGAGTATTGAGATACGATGTGATTACAAGATGTGATGCTGCATGCGCCCCATCAGTACTTGGGCGCATGCAGCTCCAGTACTCATCGGCACATGCAGTACTCTTGGCTTGTACACCATACACCACAAGGCACAGAACTGCAAAGAGTCAGAGGCCCAAGTCGACGACCACCCCAGTCCACACCAGCCGAGGAACTGAATGGTAGAGCGGCCAGCGCAGGGTCCGGGTCCCTCCCTTTCTCTTCCCGTTGGGGATGGGGCTGCATGGACGAGTGGCGGGTGTGACGTTTGCTTGTTTTAGTTTGGGGAGTTCTGTTTCTCTGTTCAACTTTAGGTAGCAATTTTTATCATGTGGGGGTTTGTTTTGTTATGCCTACCTTTCTGGGTGCCAAACCTTGGTCCATGGCAGACATGGAATGCTTCCAAATACATTGGGGTTTCCATAGGCCATTGCTCCTCGAGCATCTCTAAGGGGGCCAGGTTCTAGCTCGTGGTTCCCGGTAGGCAGAACTCCAATTGACTTATGCCACAGTCTAATACATACATATTAGCCCAGCATGCTCTGGGAAGCCATAGGGGCTCCCCACAGAAAGAATGGAAGGGCATATTTAGTCAGAGCTACCTAGAGATTTCTGTCATTGCTACCTGCTTGGAATGAGTGGAAGTTCACCAAACTGAAGTTATATATAGTTAATTGATGTTGATCTACTACAAATTCCACTATCAACTGACCTTGCCTCCAGCCGATCGACGAAGCCTTGCTGGTGAATCTACGTTACTGGTTACACTGGTGATGCTGGACTGCCGTGGCATTAACGACGAGCTCTGTTAAATATGTCATCATTAATACTTTTTTCATTAATATATTATATACTATTCCATTTATAGTACTATTACTTATCATACTGGAAATAAAAGTTTTCTAAATTTGCCTTCATATTAATTATATTATCAACAATGATACAAGAATCTCATGATTTTTTAACATTTTATATAACTTTCATTAAGTGCTAAATGTCAATTTACATACTCACATATCAGTTTGCATTTAAAAAAGGTGAAGCTGCATCTTTACAAACTGGACAATATTAATACTGATAAAACAACAGTAACAGAATATTGCAAAAACAAAGGAGTAATAAAGTTACAATAATAAAAAATCACCTCACATGTATAGACATGCAAAGCCAGTACAACAAAAATGGGATATAAAGTATAAATATTTAGGAAGCAAGGTATCTAGTCAGTATCTGCAGGTATGCCCAGGAACACAAGTGACCTCACCCAAGACTAAAAAACACACAATTAATTTTCCACACATTTTACTCAAGATAACAAAACTTCTGTTCTCCAAGAATTGGATAATACAAATATTAATTCTTTACATTTATCAGGATGCTAGTCAACTGAATTAATCACTTTATTGATAAATGATATATGATTCAGACAACCTCACGCTATATGGTCTAGGTCAAGTTAACCAATTCCTGGGAAGTCAGTTCCACTACTAGTATTGAACTTATCCTCTCTGACAGGAAAATATGATTTTTGTATGCTATACCAACAACAATATAGCACACAACCTTGAGGTCAGTTCACTTTCTCTGACTTGTCAATCTTATATCAAATAACAAATACAATAAGCACAAAGATAGGTACATATTTTAATAATTTTGTAAAGCTATTTTTACTAGTATTATCCAGCTTAAAATGTAATTAATTTTTTTAATATTTAATTTTTAAAACACTATCATACTTGACAAATTTGAAACATTACAAGAGCTACAACAGCAAAGGATTTCAAATTTTTCATTCAATATTTAAATAATTATGGTATAGTAATTTGCAAAAAATAATGTAGTCATAGATTATTGTAACAAATTATTCCACTGATTGTATACTTAATATTTCTAATAGAAAACTGAGTATTTTTTTTTTTCTTTACTGTATGAACTCTTGTTACAACACTGTAAGTTAGACTGGCACTCGTCAAGTCCTGATCAGTGGCCTGGGAACGTGTTTACCTCCAAAACAAGTGATAGTGACTGCACCTCAAGCAGGATAAATACAAGAGCAGCCAAGGGTACACCTAACTGGCGAAGTCCTGAGGTAAGGAAGAGGAATTATTAACTATTATTTGACTAGAATATAAAAAAATCTTTACCAATATACAGTATTACACAAGCTTTAGAAATTTTACTCTTCATACGGTATATTACTGCAGAACAGCTAAATCTAGAGTACCAATTGTACATGTACTGTAATGTGCTTTCTGGGATCATATGTGCTGAATAAATACAATAACAGACGTACAGTATTCAAATATTGGTGAAGTAAATTAACTACAAAGGATATCAGGTCTCATTTACAATCTAATATATATGAAAAATTAATTGGATATCATAATAAAATCTAATAAATGAGACTGTATCAGACAAAGACCTGCAGATAGCCTCATCAAAGATACCTTGCTTTGGTTGTGGATGGAGATGGAAGACAAAGGCAGTCTTGGGAGACTCTTGGATCGCTTGATGGGCCAGGATTGTAGATGTGGAGGCTTGGGAGGAAGGACAGGCTTATGGTGCTCTTCATCTGCAGAGCCAGAAATTCCCAGTGTAGATGATTCATTACTGGTCTTCAAGATTCCTGAGTTAGACTTCTGAGAGCTAATACATGGAAAAGGTTGTAGTTGCCAATATAAAGTAGACTTGAATGCATCTGTAGGAGCAACATCAACATGCAGAGAATGAGATGATGCTCTACGATGGAAATCAACATCAAGCCCTTCCGAAGAATCCCGCAGATGCGGAGGATTGCCATCTCTTTCACATGACTCACTAAAACTATGGAGACTTGAAAGTTCAGTGCACGAGTTTCCACTGGTTCCACTTGACTCTTGTGAAAGCTTTGACTGTATTTTCAAAGTACTTAAGTTTGCTTTGACTGGTAATGTTAATTGATCTCCCTGAGATTCTGTGCTTATGTCTTCTCTTGCACTAGAAGGCCTTGGTATCACAGTCACTTGAGATATCTGTGATGCCTGAGATTCAAAACTACGATCTCGTGACATGGTGACAGAAGTCTGAGGACTAAGATGAGTCGAAGACTTTCTAAGTTTGGGTCTCACTGACTGATCACCCTCAGACTGGCCAGATCTAGTACTACTAAGAGAATTGTGTTTTAAACATGAAGAAACCTGAGGAATAACCTGCAACTTCACTGACTGATCTGCCTGGGTAAAATTGGTTTGAGTGGAAGCTGATCTTGCTGTGGGTTTAATAATAGATCCCTTAGTTCCACCTCTTCGTATGTGATATGATGGCTTCAGGAACTTAGGTTTAGGAGGAACTTCTGGTTTTTTGTCAACTCTGAATCTTAAGTAATCTTTTTTAGATTTGTCCAGTGCTAGTGTCTTAGGACAAACGCTTGCTTTCATCCACCAGTGGGCATACAAGCCAGAACGAAAGACCGATTCTTCTCTGGTTGGCTCTAAGCAACTAGTGCAGCTTAGCTCATTTGCAGATGTTGAATGATGCAATGTGACTGAGTCTATCAGAGAGGAAAGTGAATCTTCTGCATATGATACAGAGGTAGAGGTATAAGGTGTTGTTGTGGGTGTTAAGAAAAGAATGTCAGTATCTGAACTACAGTCTGGAGTAAATGGACGAACCTGGCATGATGATGTGCCTTGAGAAGTTTTAACAGTAGAAAATTGTGAAGAATGTGAACAATGTGATATGCTTGAGCCACGCCCCAATCCTGGGGTTTCACTTCTCAGTGGACAACACTCAAGATGATGAATGACATCTGCAAGACCTGAGTCAGAGGACCTGTGACTATGTGATTCACAATTACATACTTTGGTAGGATTTTCTACACTATGGACCAGCTGCACATAATGGCTTGAAAATTTTGGTATCTCTGTATGATGTCTAGTTGTAGGAATTCTTCGCCATAAGTTGGGCTCACTTCGGGACAAAGGCAACATCATAGGTACTTGCTTTCTATGACTTTCATAATAATCAATTTTGTCTTCTCCAGTCTCATCACCACTACACGAAGAGACATAATAAGCAACATTTGGTTTTGTTGTAAAAGGAAATACTTTCTTCTGATGTCTTGAGTCTACCAACACACCCTCAAGACCCATCGCATCATCTGATGAAGTTGAAGCCTCATAAATTGTCCTGTCACATATATTTGGTGAACTTTCTGTTAATTCATTATCAGAGTCAGATGGTAGGAGACTTGGAAGAATTATCGGAGCAGCTGGAATGTTCAGAGTTGATGAATGGATAGTCTTATGTTGAGAATCATTAAACTTGTCTTGTAATACAAGGTTTGAATTTATGGTAGGCAAAGATCTGGAACTGGAAAATTCGGAACACATAACAGGGTTTGTGTTTGTGTCCATGGCATAACATTCTGAGTCACGTCTAACTCTACCAAGTTTTTCTTTAAAGAATTTGTATGTTGGTCTCATCACCATTGAGTCCTGTTTTGTAAAGCCTTTTGTTACATCAATTTCTTTATTTTGAGGACCTACAGAAATTTGTGCCACACTGATGTTTGGACCACTATGACTTCCATCAACTGGTATGGAGGATACAGTAGGCCACTTATTTTTTGGAATATAATAGAAAAATTCATCACAAGAAGAGCTTTTCTGTTCTCTGTTATCATTGATGAAGTTCTCTCTCTCAACACCATATGGTTTGGTGTAGGTATAACGCTTCGTACTTCTTTCATAATGCAAGCTTTCCATTTTCAAAGAGGGAACACTGGAATTTTCTGGATTATAATATCTGACATAACCATATGGATTACTACCATCTGTGGAAACCCCTGATTCTCCAGAACTATATATGGAACTATTAAATCTTTTATCTGTTAAACTTTGTTGATATCTCCATTTGTGAAGATTGCTGGAAGCGGTGCAAGAAATATTAGGATATTGTTTTTTCTTTGGAATGGGTGATAAGGCACTGATACCATCCTCAGGTTCCTCTCCAACCCAATAGCCACCATCACTGGAAGAATTACTCGTTTCAGACCTTTCTTCTGAGTAGCTTAACTTTTTTGTCTTTGTGTTCTTAGATTCAACATCTGAATCATTACTAGAATCATCTCCTGTTTTTATTACGCACTCTGTTTTGTGTCTCCTTAACTGTACCACATTCAATTCATTTTCATCTTCTCTGTCTCCAGCTAATTGTCTTAAAAGTTTTCTTGTAATAATTTTCCTTCTGTACATATTGGTTATATATTTTGTCAAGATAGCATAGGGCCTGCTCACATAAAAAGTAGCACTTGGGAGTACTGACAAGGTTGGGCATACAGGACATGACATGCTACTTGAGCTAGATCTTACAGAAGGTGTTTGGCAAGATGCACATTGCAGATGACAGTGACCATCACCATCAAAGCCACTGACTTTCACACTACCTGCACATTCACCAACAGGGCAATAAGGTAAACCACAAGACATGCACATGGGAGGTTGAGACAGACTGTGCAAGACAATGGCACCAGGGTTACTGGGCGAGACACTTACATGAGCTGGGGGTACAGGGGGAGAGGTTAACGAGGATTTATGAGGGGTAAAGTTGGAGGATCGGGCCATACGGCTATGCTGACTCAAGGCTTCTACCCAATGCAGCTGATCTTGTCGTGTTTGACAGACAGCTACAATGTGTTCTACCATTGGACCTGCAAATGTAGGAGATAATAAAAGTACATAAATTCAAACTACTGTACTGTGAAAGATGATTATTTATTGCCCAATACAAAATCTCCTACATTCTGATCTGAATGTACTCAACTCTCAAATACTGCCCTTTTATTCTTTCTAATTTTCTGATCTCTAAATCATTCAACAGCTTTACAGTTTCAAGATAAAAATGAAAAAGTATATATTAAATGTTTGTATGTACAGTACTTGCTACAGTTAATTAACTTGGATCTAGAATAAAAAGTAAAGCATATAAATCAATCTATATTCAAGGTGACAGTACACTAAAGAAGGCAGATTCTTCATGTGCTCTTAAATAATGAACAAAATGAAATAAGATATGGTTCGATCACACAAGGGCACTCGAGAAAGTAATCCCTGGGCTAGCATACCTTACAATATGAAAAGGATGATTAAATAAATACAGATATCCCTTGATATATATTGGCATGGACTATTGGCATGGTACAAGATCGAGGCATCCTGCAAACTCACACCCTGCATGAGTAGCTATAGAGACAGATCCAGCCCATACTACAAAAGAGACCAGAAGAAGCTTACTTGGTCCTGAAGGTAAAGATCAAATAGGAACACGAGGCACAGTAGCCACTCACTGAGAAGAACCCAGACCTAGCACAGTCTAAGAAAACACACAGGATAAGCATGACACTGAAAAATGCACATGAGAACACCTATGCACCCAAATAAAGAAGAAACCTTTGCCAACCCCAACCGTAGAGCCTTGCAGAGTGTCAAGAGACCCATACACTACTCGGGGCAAGGCCCAATCCACAGGTGGCTGGCTTCACAGGGATGGACACCCTAACCCACTAGAGAAGGTAACCCTCTTAGGGCACAGGCAACACCAGAAATCACTTAAGAAATGCAACCCTAAATGCATTCATCTCAAGTAACTCAAAGTTAACACAACAAGTGTGGCAAATAAACACATGCACATGAAGAATGTAAAGCAGATACATAAAAATGGAACAATACATAAGCAAAATCAACCCCTGTAGAACAATGTTCAAAGGATGGCCTCCACTTAGCCAAAAAATTGTAACTCAAAGACCAAGAGGTGATTCAAAGCACAGCAATGACTTTCATGAGGCCATAATCAGGTTTAAGACTTACTGGATGGCTCGTCTGAGCTGGCAGTTAGCAGTGGTCAGCTGATACTAGTGGGAGAATGGTTTGACTACTAGTCACTCATTTCCTGAAATGCCTTCTTTACTTTGCTGTACTGGGGGTTTTTCCTACCATTTTGGTGGCTATATTCTTAAGAGTCATTTTGAATTCTTTGCTCTTTGCACCTCTGTACGGGGACCAGATTTTGGCCTTTAGTGTCTGGTAGATTTTAAAAGATTCACAAAAGTCTGGTGCGATTCAAAATAGATGCAGCTAACCAGGCAGTAAGCAACAGGGAGCCACCAATGGAGCCCTCCGAGAAAGGAATTATAGTTTAAGCACAAAAAATTCACATACCTGAAATTTCAAAGGCATTCTTGTGGTGGTCACTATCTTCCAGCTTACTTACATGGATGCTGCTTAATGGGTAGCTTCCCTGCAATTAAAACATTACTTTGATGAAAAAATAAACTCAATCATATTCTACATGTAATATAATATTAATTAATATTGAATAAAGCAGACCCTCCATATTGTGCTGCACCCGATTTGAATTTACTAAACAAGTCTGATTAATTAATAATTTTCCTTTACCTGTGGGGAACCCCATTGGTTCTCTGAAACTATCACACACTGATCAGTGTCATACTATTTAGTGTCATAAGTTGCAGAGTTCTATTTGCATACCAGGGACCACAAGCCAGAACCTGGTCCCCTCAGAGGCACAGGGGGTGATGGTCTATGATCACTTTACATTTAAGGATTAGCATCTTTGCCACCACCTAGGGAAGGCACCCAGAAAGATAAGCGAATCAAAACAGACCACTGGGCGAGCCCCGGAGGCTCCCTGATACCCTCCCTTACCCAGATCGTCAAAGTGTTTTATCATTCTAGAACTGACCGGAGAGGGGCCCGGCTGATCCAGCCAGGCTTAGTCCTCTTCCCAATGAAGAGGGGAAAGTGAAACAAATTAGAGGGAGGCAAGTTTCATACAATTTTGGTTGTTTGTTTTCATTGTGGGAAGTTATTTTCGCAAATTTGGGGCTGTGGTCTCGTTTTTAACCATGTAGTTGTTTTCATTCGCCTAGCTTTCTGGTTGATACCTGGTTGATACCTGATTGATGGGGTTCTGGGAGTTCTTCTACGCCCCAAGCCCGGCCCGAGGCCAGGCTTGACTTGTGAGAGTTTGGTCCACCAGGCTGTTGCTTGGAGCGGCCCTCAGGCCCACATACCCACCACAGCCCGGTTGGTCTGGAACGTCTTTTAGAAAACAGTCTAGTTTTCTCTTGAAGATGTCCACGGTTGTTCCAGCAATATTTCTCTTATAGTTGCTGGAGGACGTTGAACAGCCACGGACCTCTGATGTTTATACAGTGTTCTGTGATTGTGCCTATGGCACCTCTGCTCTTCACTGGTTCTATTCTGCATTTTCTTCCATATCGTTCACGCCAGTACGTTGTTATTTTACTGTGTAGATTAGGGACCTGGCCGTCCAGTATTTTCCATGTGTATATTATTTGGTATCTCTCTCGTCTCCTTTCTAGTGAGTACATTTGGAGAGCTTTGAGATGATCCCAATAATTTAGGCGCTTTATCGCGTCTATGCATGCCATATATGTTCTCTGTATTCCCTCTATTTCAGCAAATCCCTCCATCCCTTCCTCCCTCCTTCACTCCCTCCCTCCCTCCTTCCTTCCATCCCTCCCTCCTTCCCAGCTCCCTCCCTCCATCCCTCCCTCCTTCCCAGCTCCCTCCCTCCTTCCCAGCTCCCTCCCTCCATCCCTCCCTCCCTCCCTCCCTCCTTCCCTCCATCCTTCCCCTTCCTCCCTCCATCTCTCCCTCCATCTCTCCCTCCTTCCCTCCCCTCCATCCCTTCCTCCTTCCCTCCCTCCCTCCTTCCTTCCATCTAAACATCTGGTTGCGAGCTGGTCCCTTCCCCCCACCAACAACACCCCCACCCCCCCCCAAACTTCCCATACACACGCTCTCTCTGCTTCACCTCAACAACCATAATGCCATCCCTCCCTCCCTCCCTCCATCAATCCATCCCTCCATCCATCTCCATCCTACCATCCATCTCCATCCACTCCCTCCCTACCAACCACCCAGCCTCTGCCTGCCTGCCTCCCTCCCTCCTTGCTGCTCCCTCCATGCCTACCACCCAGCCTCTGCCTGCCTCCCTCCCTCCCTGCCTACCACCCAGCCTCTACCTGCCTGCCTGCCTGCCTGCCTGCCTGCCTGCCTGCCTGCCTGCCTGCCTGCCTGCCTGCCTGCCTGCCTGCCTGCCTGCCTGCCTGCCTCTGCCTGCCTGCCTCCCTCCCAAGCTCTGCCTGCCTGCCTGCCTCCCTCCCTGCCTCCCTCCCAAGCTCTGCCTGCCTGCCTCCCTCCCTCCTTGCCTGTCCCTCCCTGCCTACCACCCAGCATCTGCCTGCCTCCCTCCCAAGCTCTACCTTCCTCCTTGCCTCTCCCTTCCTGCCTACCTCCCAGCCTCTCCATCCCTGCCTGCCTGCCCATCCACCCACCAGTCAGCCATCATTGACACAACGAGTGCATTTGGAGCCAACATGGTGCACGGATGTTCCTTGATTGTGCCAATATGTCCAACAAAGTCACGGAATGAATACTCCAGCCTCATGGCAAATCAAAACAATGTGCTGTGAATCTGTGACGTCACAGGGTAGAAGGCACTAGAGTGGTGGACCCAGTGGCTGTCTGTATAAAATATATCTTACCTGAACGTTACTTGAAAAATTACCGACACTTAACTTCGGAAATACCGGAGCTCCGGAAATAACGACCAGGGTACAGCCCCATATAGGCCGTTAAATCGAGTGGATACTGTACATAATGTGTATATGTGTGTGTGTGTACTTTTTCTTTCGGAAGGGGTTCTGTTCTCTTCTCTGTTGACGGGACGCTGGGGGAGCAGCTTGCTCTGTTGACTCTCGTATGGTCCCGCTGTTGGTGGGCGCTTTTGGTTGTCTTCCGGCCTCTGGTGGCGTCGGTGGACGGCTTCTCCCCCTTTGGGGGGTTTAAAGCTGGCGGGGTGGGCTTCTTCCCCTGCGCTTCGTCATGTCATCTTAGTGAGTCCGTTGGACGTGGTCGATCCGCCACATCCTTCTGGGGTTCCCGTCTGCTCTTTGCAGTCATGGGTCTTTCGCATCTGCGGTTCTTCTGGTCTACTTCAGTCTGCGCCCTGGATTCTATGCCCTCCTCGGAGGACTGTTGTCTCCTGCCCGGCTTCTGTTGGGGCCGGGTGCCTGGATGGTGGCCCTGGACCTCTAGGTCACTTCTTGGCACGTTCCTCTCCAGTTTTCTGGGACTGGCACAGTTGGTGGTGGGGCTTCAGGCTTGCTTCTTTTGTTGCCTTCCCTATTTTGTAATTGGCACTTGGTGTATTTTTTTTTTTTTTGTACATCTTTACCGGATCTTAGTGCCCTGTCTGAGTCTGCTTGAGATTCGGTGTCTGGCCTACCTCGACAACTGGCTGGTGTGGGCTCCCAGTCAGTCCACTTGTCTGCTTGCCAGGGGTGTGGTTCTTTCCAGATTGCCGGGTTTGGTTTCCTGGTGATCTGGAGGCCATTCCATCTGTTTCCGTCCCGGGTTCAGACCTGGGTCTTGTTTAGGGCTATTGGGCCACTCATTATCTTTCCCTCCAGAAGTGTTACTGCGGCTGTGGCCCCACCTTCGGCTGTACATGAGGGGGTCCCGGGTTGCTCAGCGGTTGCTTGAGCAGTTGTGCGGGAGTCTGAACTTCGACGTGCTGGTCTGCCCGCAGGGCCGGGTTTGGCTTCGGCATCTTCGGCGTTCCTTTGGTGACTCCCCTTCCGCCTCTTGCATTCGTTGGGTTCGTTCCTCCGAGGATCTTGTGTTGGTGCTGCATCACCAGCTTCCTCTTTGGGGTTTTCGGGGTTTCGTGCCTTGGCACCTCCCCGAGCCTTCGCTCGATGTGTTCGCGGACGGGTCATCTCTCGGCTGGGGCTTTGTGACCAGTGCTCACCAGGTCGGCCGGGGATGGTGGAGTCTGTCCGTCTGTTGGGCTCACAACACGGTTCAGGAATTCGTGGCTGTCTGGTTTGCGCTTCGGAGGGTTTGGGTCACTCAATGCTCTACCATTCAGCTCTGTTCGGACTGTTCTCTGGTGGTTCTTGCCGGAACCACAGGGTTTCTCTTAGGTGTTGACCTTTGGGGTTGGTTCCGTAGTGGCTCGTTTGCTGGATTCTCGGGGTTTGGCTAACCGTGAGGTTCATATCCGGGGTGTGTCCTGCGTCCTGGCGGACAGCTGTCTCAGTTCATTTCTCTGTTCGCGGATTGCCCAGTTGTCGCTGACTCGTTTTGTTGGCTCTGTCGGATGTATGGACTCCTGGTCGTGGACGTCTTCGAGTCGGCGTGGTCTAGGCGTCGCCCATTTTATGTGGCGCCCTTACCCACCTGCGAGGCATTCACGGTGGATGCTTTTCGGCAGGAATGGTCGAGGTGGGGGTACCTGTTCCTCTTCTCCTGGTCCAGCTGTTGCTTTGGGTTCTGGCTCGGCTGCAGCCCATTCTCACGAGAGCAGTCCTTATGGTTCCTTGGTGGCCGGCCCAGCCTTATTTTCAGACCCTGCTTGATAGGTGTCCGAACCTGGGGCATTTTCCCGCGGCTCCGCCTCTTTTGGCAGGTCGAATCGGTCTTGTACGTGACTGGTTCGGCTTTCTCCTCGGCTCTTCGCGTCTGGTATTTTGAAGCGGGTATCACCATCTCTGTGGTGTTCAGGTTGCTTTGTTGACGGTGTCCCACCTGGGAGCTTCGTCTTGGCGACAGTATGACGTTCGTACGCTTTCTCATGTTTTGTTTCACCTCCGGCGTGCTCATGCGTCGCCTGAGCCATCCTGGTCCTTGATCAGGGTGCCTTCTTATCTTCTCCTAAGTTTGTGGTACCCCCTTCGGTTCAGGTTTCTGCTCTTTGGTACTGGTGGTAGATTTGTACGTGTGCAGCCTTTCTCCATCCTGGCGGCGGTCGAGACGGCTGCTTTCCAGAGTGGTTCTTGGGTTATTGATGCTCGATTGGTTTGGCCGGGGGTGCTTCCTGTGTTGTCCGGTTGTGCTTTTTGCCATTGCCTACATACAGTGTCTGGGGATGCGCTGTGGTTGATCCGGTTCCCCTCGTTCCCTGTTTTCAGGGCTTGGGTCTCCCAGGTCGTCTGCAGAGTTTTTCATTCTTCCAGCCTGCGGTCTGTCTTTGCGCCCGTGCTGTTCAGATGTTTGCAGTTTTTGCTGCTGTGTTGGTGATGTCTAGAGCTCATTTCGGGCGCAGGGATTTGAGCTTCGCACAGGTTCTTGGCCGCCCAATCTTTATGCACGTCTGCTCCTGTGCATTCTTGTTGCCTTGGATCGCAGGTTGCAACCTGTTGTCTCGGCATCGCGTTGCAGAGTTTGTGGCGGCCACCTCCCAGG